GCGTTGACTGTATGCATTATGGGGAATATGTCTTGCACTGGTAAAGGTTACTTCTAGAATGAAACAATGATATATCCTGATATTGTGAGAGAGAGAGAGAAGTCCCTTTTTGAACCTTTTTTTTAATTTTTTAACAATTTAATAAAAATATACGTTTTTTTTTTTTTTTTACTAATTTTATTTTTTTTAAAATCCTTCCATAAAATGATAGGTGTGAACAGCAACTTGATACGTTTCATTAGAAATATTACTATACATGTATATCTTATTTTCCAATGAGGTTAAACTCAAACAAGAAACGATGGAAATGTTATCCAACGGTTAAATCATCGGGATCGAGATGCCTCTCATACTTCGAAACGTGTACGGATACGTATACGGATACGTCAGATAGAACAATCTCTATTACAAAATCAATAAAACTCATAAAAATTGGGAAAACGTGACAAAATGTTGGATGAACAGGGACAGACAATTTTTTTTTAGCTGCTCTTGATGTTCAAGGAAAAGTATTTTCAGCTTTAAAATTTGAAATAGAGAAAAAACACAAATAAAATTGGGAAAGTTGATACATAAAACAAGCATGAAAAGAACTACGCACGCTAACTCGAGATTTCCGCCTACATTTTATACCCATCTAATTCAGTAAAAATGGCATTCTGGCCATTAAATCTTTTTTGAATGAAAAGAATAGTTCCTAAGTTATTGATTAATAATATTAAAACCAGCTTCAAAAAGTTAATTCCCTTTTTACAACTTTTTTTCACAAGAGGGGGGGGGGGTTAGAAAATTTTACGCATTATATTTGAAATCAGGCTTTTAAACATCACCAAAATTTCACATATGCACAGAAATGGATAAATGACCCTTAAATCTTTCCGTTTATTAAAATTATGTAAAATTCAAAGTATAAGACTGATAAACTACATTTTTTACTTGCTATCTCGTTAGAAATTGGTTATAAAATGACCATTTTTACTGTTTTTATGCATCCGTAATCGAAGATTCGGGGGCATATAGTTTTTGCCCTGTCCGTCCGTCTGTATGTCTGTTTGTTCGCAAAAACTTTAACCTTGCCAATAACTTTTGATTGGTTGGAGCTATGGCTTTCATATTTCATATGTGTATTCCTTGTGACAAGACCTTTCTTTAGGTACCACCATATTTGACCTTGGAGTTTGACCCACTTTTCCAAAATTTTATGAGACTTTAACCTTGGCCATAACTGTTAAACACTTGGAGCTTGGGCCTTCAAACTTCCTAAGTGTATTCCTTGTGAAAAGGCCTTCCTTTGGATACCAACATCTTTGACCTTGACCTTGGCCTACTGTTGGAAAAACTTTTAACCTTGGCCATAACTTTTGAACAGTATGAGCTAGGTCTTTCATACTTTGTATGTGTACTCCTTGTGCCAAGACATTTCTTTGTACACCAACTTTGACCTTGACCTTGGAGTTTGACCTACTTCAATTTTGAAGAATTTTAACCTTGGTCATAACTTTTGAACAGTTAGTGCTAGGGTTTTCATACTTCACATATGCATTGCTTGTGACAAGACCTTCCTTTAGATACCAACAACTTTGACCCCTTGACCTTGGAGTTTGACCTTTTGAAAAACTATAACCTTGGCCATAACTTTTGAACAAATGGTGTTAGGGCTTTCATACTTCACATATGCATGCCTTGTGACAAGTCCTTCCTTTGGATACCAACATCTCTGACCCTTTGACATTGACCTTGAAGTTTGACTTACTTTAGAAAAAACCTTAACCTTGGCCATAACTTTTGAACAGTTGGTGTTAGGGCTTTCATACTTTACATGCATATTCCTTGTGACAAGACCTTCCTTTGGATACCAACAATATTGACCTTGACCTTGGAGTTTGACCTACTTTTAAAAAATTTTAACATTGGCCATAACATTTGAACGTTTGGTTCTAGGGCTTTCACATTTCAAGATCATGTTTATCACTTGTGACAAGAACTTCCCTTGGGTACCATTTGACCTTGACCATGCTGTTTTACTAACTTTGTAAAAACTTTAACCTCCGCCATAACTTTTCAACGGTTTGTACTAGGGCTTTCATATTTCACAGGTATATTCCTCGAGACAAGACCTTTCTTCGGGTACCAACATTTTTGATTTGTTTCCTAGAGTCTGACTAGCATTTAAGAAACTTTAACCTTTACCATATGCTGCCATACATGGGCATCAGTGTTTTACGTACCCCCCCCCCCTTCCGTAAAACACAAAAAGCTTTGGTATGAATTTGTGAAATAACAATCCATATTACCTGTAAAAAGGAATTTTTGTTTCACGGGGGAAAGATGCTTTAAAAATATTTTTGTTGATTTATATACTGAAAAACACAAGTTTTACCAAAATTATAGAGTTATCTCTCTTTGTTTTCCCAAATAAGTAATGTTTTATGAAAATTCTTATATCTATATAAATTTTTTAAAAAGTGTTAACCTTTGAAAATTGACTTGGAGGTAGGCGGGAGAACAATACTATAGTCCGCAGTTTTTTTTTTTAAATTTCACTTTTTATGTTGGACAAACGAAAGACGGATGTTGGAAAAACCTGGACGGACACTGAGGTTTTTGAGAATTTTATCTCCTTTGTATATTTTTTTTATATAATTCCCAAGGAAAAACACAAAATGATGTAATAGATATTTATTGAGGTAATTATTGGGATATAAGCTATGAAGTTCCTCTCAGAATCTTCTCTGTCTGGTAAATCCTGTTAAAAGAAGAAATTAAGATATTTAATCTATTTCATTTAAGGTGTTTGGCTTCTGACAACAAAAATAATTAAAAATTTAATTTTTCTTTTTTAATTGTAAGAATAAACATAATTAATTATTTTAAGCCAAAAAAATGCATATGTATATGATTTGGTTTACAAGCTATAGGCGTTTATGCCAAAGGGAGGTAAATCTCTCATTTTAGTAAAGAAAAAGACCAAAAATGCGTCCAACGTATTTAATATTCCCTTTAACCTAAAAAATATTTTCAAATCATTTTGACTTTTTGTTATCTTTTAAAAGTAGTCATAAGGAAAATAAATATTGATGAAATAATGATGGTAATCAACCGAAGATAAAATTAATTCTTTAAAAAAATGCACACACCCCTGTGCAAAAATTCGCTTATTTTTCCTTTTGGGGGCTTGTAAAATAAGCTTGGAAAATGAATTAGAAATAATTAAAAAGTTAATTTTTTTCTAGTTAATTATTTCTTAGTTGTAGTGCTTTCAAACAATGTAAAATATTGTATATCTACATGAGTTACTTTAAAAGATATTTTCATTTGAATTTCCTCTGACCGAATTTTCCTCAAATTTTGAACAGAGGAAATTCGGATTGATTATATTTGCTTCCTACATTATTTAGCCTGTTATTTTTGATGAATTTTCCATTTGCATGAATGTATGATTGTATTAAAACTCATTCTTTCTCTTAAAAAAAGGACATTAAAATATATTAGTGAACGACTATATTTGATATTGAGGGGGAAAGAGGGGGGGGGGGTATCGAGTCAGATTATTTTCGTGCCCTCTCAAGACAGAATATTTATTTGCAAGAAGACCGGATACAGATTATTAAATTTCATTCTTGGAAAAATTCTGAAAACTCTACTTCTTTGGGTTTTAATCTTTCATATTACAAAGCTGGTCTCACAGTATATAAACTTCCCAGATTAACAAAACTTAAATCTACAGTATGTAATGATGCTTTCACACAAGTTTCATCTTCTCTTGCCCAGTGGTTCTTGAGAAATTTTTTTAAAGATGCTACCAAATTCTTAATTATCTTCCCTTGAAAGAGGGCGTGGCACTCCTGTGAACAAACTTAAATCCCCTTACCCCAAGGATGCTTTGTGGCAAGTTTGGTTGAAATTGGTCCAGTGGTTCTTGAGAAGAAATCAAAAATGTGAAAAGTTTACAGACATTGTGATAGTTATCGGTATTTCAAATTGTTACCGGTACATGTAACATACAAAAATTTAATGGCACTGCTGTATACTGTAAACATTAAGGTTTTTTATCGTCTTTGACAGAAAGCTGCTTCCGCTATATCAAGAACATCACAAACTTTATGACGTGTATATTTATTGGTACACAATCAGAAATGTGCCAAAATCAAACCTAGCTTGATTTGTTGAAAAATTAATCACCACCAAGTATAGTGCATGCACAATATACATTTGCAGTATGTCCTTTCATATTCATTTGTGCATATTTCAATTTATGCACATAGCTTTCTTCAATAAATATCAATGAACAGAATTTAGATTCTCATGTATGGTCAATAAATCATTGTCAATTCAGTTTCTAAATTGGATTTATTTTGAATGGAAAGAAAATGTTTTGTTCAACTACAAACTACCAATAACACTAGACATTGAAACATGTTTCATATACAACAGTACATTGCATAATTATACCCCCGCTCCGAAGGAGAGGGAGTATATACTGTTTTATCCTTGTGTGTCTGTCTGTCCATAACAAATTTTTGTCGCAGTTTTCTCAGCAACCACTTATAGCAGATACTTGAAGTTTTAACACTCACTTTGTTTAGGCATGCCATATAGTAAGATTTATTTTGTACGAATCCAATTTCAACTTCCTGTTTATCTGTGCGTCTGTCAATACCATGCATAACAAATTTTCGTCACAGTTTTCTCAGCAACTACTCATCGGAGATGTTTGAAATCTTAGCACACTCTTTGTTTAGGCATGCCATTTGGTGGGATTCATTTTTGTACGAATCCAGTGTCAACTTCCTGTTTATTCCTGTGTCTGTCCATAGCTGAACTTGTGTATATTCACATCAGAGGGTATATTCACATCAGTGCTCAGAGCGGGGGTATTACTAGTACATCAACAACTCGTGGGGTTCCAATTTGAGTGAAAAATTCTCAAAGGGACGTAAAACAAACAAACAAACAATAACATACAAAGAACATCATACATTCACAAACAAATAACTGCATTACTGCTCAGACCTGAAATAATCTGCAACAGAATCAATGATTTTTTTAGATTTTGTCACACGCACACTATTATCAGCTATCTCTGACAGCACATCCTGCACTCCCTCCCTACCATTTCTCTGATATGCAAGTTGTAAGTGGGATAAGGAGAGTCCACTGCCGGCAATCTTATTTCCCATTCCATTCGAAATTACCTTTTGGTCCAATAAAGGCCTTAGTGTACTCATTAGATGCTTTGTTGTGTTCTTGTGATGAAACACGGCAACGGCAGAGTTCAAGGTGAAGGATGCAGCAACTTTGACTTCATGGGAGGGTCCTGTATGATCGACCAATCTCTTCAAGGCTATGACATCCTGTAATGAGTCATGCGCACTGTATTTGTCTTGTAGAATTTCTGCAAAGAGGTGTAACTGCGAGTATGACGAAAGGTTTGGATGTGACATTTTGAAAAGAGGAATTGTATCAATGAAGCCAGTGACTGCAGATGAAAATGTCTCCAAAAAGTTTAGTTTACTCAAAATGTTGAAGAGCACAGGAAGGTCAAACACTTTAGAGTTATGCCCAACTAGAACAACATCTGGACCCGACATCTTCATGAAGTCCATAAACTGGATCAGAGCATCTTTAATGCTGACTGTCTCAACTTCCTCATGATTGTGGTACATTTTATTGTTGACTACTTGTATTCCAGTTATTTCTGTAGCTTTTGATGTCATTGGTTTTTTTGGAATGATGTACTTGTTGAATACCTCATCATTTCTAACTGCAGATAACTGCACAATATGAGAATCCCTTGCTGAAAATAAAAACAAGTATATTCAAGTTTTTGAAATTCAAAACATAAAATATCCAAACAAATCCATTGATATATGCACTATTTCAAAAATTTTGAAACAATGAAATACTAGTGCCCCTCTTCCCCAAGCCTTAACTCCTGTCGAAAATGCTTGAACTCTTTCAGAGTATGCATTTTCTTTTAATTCAGTGTTGTCAGATTAGGAAAAGTAAAGTTTTGAAAGAACGATATAAAACATGCTCAACTACCAATACCAGAATCATAGAGGTTTAAAAACTTCTTTTATGCCATTTCAAAATATGCATTTGCTTTTATTCAATATTAGCAACAGAAAATATATAATTTTTGAAAAACATATATTACCTCTGTATAAATTATGTGCATTTAGTTTCATTGGTTTTTGTCCCACCCACAGGCCTCTGAGGTGCAAGAGTCATAACATTTAAATTCCTCTTTACTCTGAAGATACTTTATACCAAACATTGGGGGGGGGGGGGGGGGAGCCATATAGTTTTCAGGAAGTTAAAAATGTTTATTAGTTTACACATGGCAGACAGTGGACAGGGACCAATTACAAAAGGTCATATGAGTGTCTCAAATCTTCGAAATTAATCATGTTTTCATACATTCCTTTTGCATATGCTTCCCATACATCTGGTGGATATCAATCAGGAAATAAATTTTGAGATTACATGGGTGTGATATCACAATTGTTTATGACTGAAAGTGTTGTCATGGAGTTTTGCTGCTAAGGCTCGGAGATAGAATATCATATTCAATCATATTCAACCGCAAAACATGATAGATCCTTCTTTTATAGAATTGTTTACTTGATCGTGATTCCCATATCTTGTGATAAACACTTCTTGGTGGTTTTTGTGACAAACAGATTAGAAATTTTCTTGCTGTTTACAAAATGCTGGGTTTATTCCTTCGACATCCATATAGAAGAAATACTGGAAGAGTGCCATAACCATCAGCATTGACTAGACATTCAAAACTCATTTAGGTTCTTACCGAGTCCAGTAGTTTCCAAGTCGAAATAGATCTCTTCAGCATTTAACAACTGACTTGAAGGAAGATGATCATACTTTGGAATTGTTTTTGGAGCTGGAATTTCATCAATGTCCGAGGCATGGTGGAGATCACATCCTGTCAAATAACTGACGCCTTCCCTTGTCTCTTTTGTAGAAAGACTTTGAATTCTGTAAAGAAGTTGTATATTGTAAAACAAATAATTCCAAATTGAGGTCTTACAAGAGGCCTAGCAAAATAAACACTCACCTGATGTACAGCCAATAAAAAAAAATTACTTAGTAAAGACTGGTTGCACAGTTCTGATAGAACGTTTCAAGCTATTCTAAACCACAATTTTGTACATTACAGGGTGAAAGAAATTTCAGTGACCACTTGGCAAAGCAAATAAATATGAAGCATAACCATTCATCTCAATGAAGATTTTGCTTGTCCCATATGACTCACTTTTCCAATATAAAATAGATATTCAACAATATAGCGAAAAATATACCTCCAAATGAATTGGAAAAAAATATTTATCAAACCACTGGTTGATTCATTCCAGAAAATGTCCTCTTCATTAATTTTATACTTATATCAAACTTTTTATGACAATTTGCAACCAGAAGAGACTCACTATTTATAACAAGCATAAATCTTTGGTGATTCAGAAAACAATAGATCTTAGTAAGATTCAAGAGTTTTTTTCAATTCTCACTTTAAATATATACTTATCAGCAGGGACATCCACTTGTCCTTGGTTGGTTTTCACTTTTCAGTTAGACAAGAGTTTTGTTGCACTCTGACAAATGACAATAAAAGTATACTAGTACCTCTTGGCTTTCAATTCTCTCCTTCTCCTTTTAAATTTCTGTGTCATTGAAATGGCCTTCTGTCGTTTTCTTTGGAGATCCCTCAGAATGCACTGTCTTCGAGTATAGTAGCCAGGAGAGAGGCCTAATTTCTTGTTCACCTTTAATAAGGATATAAGAATCCATTATGTACAACTAAATATGCAATACATTCATTAATCTGCTTTTGATTAAAATTTGCAGAATTTTAAAATCTAAGAGATTAATATTCTCACATAACAAAAGTACACACAGTAGAAATATTGTTAGGAATATATGTAATGCAAACAACATACATTATAAAACAAATGGATCATGGGCCTTGATGGTCACCTTTACTACGGCTACTTTGGCCCCGCCCCAAGCTCTAACTTGGGACTAAACTCGCTCCTTTTTTTACCATTGGCCTTGCTGTTTTTCACTTGATTCCCCCCCCCCTTTGTAGTACTTATTGTGGCCCCACCCTACCCCAAGGGGTCATGATTTGAACAATTTAGAATCTACACTACCCCAGAATGCTTCCACATAAGTTTCAGCTTTTCTGGCCCAGTGGTTCTTGAGAAGATTTTTAAAGATTTTTACTACATATTTCAATGTAAATCTTGGATTCCCTATTGTGGCCCCGCCCTACCCCCCAGGTGTCATGATTTCAACAATTTAGAATCTACACTACCCCAGAATGCTTCCAAATAAGTTTCAGCCTTTCTGGCCCAGTGGTTCTTGAGAAGAAGATATTTAAAGATTTTTACTATATATTTCAATGTAAAACTTGGATTCCCTATTGTGGCCCAGCCCTACCCCCGGGGGTCATGATTTGAACAATCTAGAAACAACACTACCCCAGAATGCTTCCAAATAAGTTTCAGCCTTTCTGGCATAGTGGTTCTTGAGAAGAAGATTTTTAAAGATTTTTACTATATATTTCAATGTAAAACTTGGATTCCCTATTGTGGACCTGCCCTACCCCCCAGGTGTCATGATTTCAACAATTTAGAATCTACACTACCCCAGAATGCTTCCAAATAAGTTTCAGCCTTTCTGGCCCAGTGGTTCTTGAGAAGAAGATATTTAAAGATTTTTACTATATATTTCAATGTAAAACTTGGATTCCCTATTGTGGCCCAGCCCTACCCCCGGGGGTCATGATTTGAACAATCTAGAAACAACACTACCCCAGAATGCTTCCAAATAAGTTTCAGCCTTTCTGGCATAGTGGTTCTTGAGAAGAAGATTTTTAAAGATTTTTACTATATATTTCAATGTAAAACTTGGATTCCCTATTGTGGACCTGCCCTACCCCGGGGGTCATGATTTGAACAATTTAGAATTTACACTACCCCAGGATGCTTCCACATAAGTTTCAGCTTTTCTGGCCCAGTGGTTCTTGAGAAGAAGATTTTTTAATGACCCCACCCAATTTTTGTATTTTCTTGATTATCTCCCCTTTGAAGAGAACTTGGCCCTTCATTTTAACAATTTAAGCTCTTCTTCACCCAAGGATGCTTTGTACCAAGTTTGGTTAAAATTGGCCCAGTGGTTCTTGAGAAGAAGTTGAAAACGTGAAAAGTTTACAGATGGATGGAGAGACGGATGACGGACAACGGGTGATCAGAAAAGCTCACTTGAGCTAAAAATTAACATACCTTTATAAGATATCTGTGACCTTCATTTTTCTGAGCTACACACGCAGCAACTCTATATCTGAGGCTTGAAGAGGAGCTGTAATGATGGGTCTTTGGGGCTTTTGCAGACACCATTCTGTTAAAACTCTCATTTGATTGCGTGCTTCCTAAACATGAAAGACGATCAGAATGACTTGCATATGAACTGAAAACTTCTTTGAGATCATCCTGAAGGAACCTATCTTTGAGCGGTTTTCCATGTGGAAGAGACTTGTAGCGCAGGTTAGGGTTGTCGATGAACTTGCACCACCGTGCGGAGCAGTGTTCGTGATCTCCAAAGATGTGGTATGGTATTGATGAGAGGTCTTCTTGGATTTGAAGAGCATTTCCTTTTCCCTGTGCTATGGAGTAACTGAAGCACTTTTGAATATACTTTATAACAGACAAAGTTAGAGATGAATGTTCTTTCTTCAAGGTAAACAAAGAGTTTGTAAACAGTTTCTTCAGATGATTTTTATCAGACAACTTCTTGATATTAGCATTGACATTAGTTTTTAATCTTGCTATTGTGGTGGTATCCTCATCTCCTATGATTCCGTCAATGGTTATTCCTTCACTTTTCTGTAAATCTTCTACCATCTCAATAACCATATCTGCCTCCATGGCCTTTGAACTTCCCTCCCAGTTCTTTGAGCACTCATGGGCTGCTGGATTCTTGTTGGTTGTTTCAGCTACACTGCATACTCTGCAATTCTTTGACCTCACAGAATATGACAATACTTTGCCAGAGAGAGGGCCAACCATGGAACAATGACCTAAAAAAGTACATATTTTGAAGTAAAAGAAAAATTTAACACCCAATTTCAAAACAATGCCAATGGGTTATCACACTTTAGAAGATAATCTATACAAAAGTTTTTCCTTTCTTTATTCCTCTGAATAAAATTCACCTAATATTGCTAATGAGAGTGCTTGCATATTGATTTGACTCATTAAGGCTCTTCCTTAATGAGTTTTTTCCTATAAATTCCCATGTAAAAATTATATCCCTTTTTGTGGCTCCATCTTACCCCCTTGGGGCCATAGTTCAAACAAAATTGAATATGCTTTACCTGAGCATGCTTGTATCTATACATGACTACTAATGGCTGTTCTTTGGAAGAATATTTTAAAATTTCAATGTACAGTTGAACTTTGGGATACATGTATCTTTTTCATAAAATGTTTCTTTCTTTCTATCATATAAATCCCCGATATCTTAACCGTGTATTCATGGTACAGGTGTGGATTTAAAACACTCTTTTTGAGGTAAACTAAATAAATATCGAAGGCATGGTGCCTGAAGATTTCTTGAATATCAATAGATAATCAATAGATAATCAGGGTCATATTGACATCGCTGCAATATGCCATACACATACTCGAATTTCTAGAGAGGGAGAGAGAGATGTCAACAATGAAGCCGATCGATAGCCCCACCTCCTATAAATTTGATTACGTGACCTAAAAACCACTCCGGGTACATGCCAAATTCCGGAAGACGACACTAATGTATCGTTGCTTCAATTTTGATTCATGGCAAAAGGCCTTGCTTTTGTACAAATGTTCTACCTAATATAACCATGTATACGTAACTCTTTCTATTGCTTGCAATATATTTTGGATTCACTTCATTTACAGCTTGGTAGAGGAATTGCAAAAAGATCCAAAGGGCGTTAACTCCACCCATTCTTTACTGCATCTGTTTGCATACATATTTATTGGAATCATGTCCTGAGCAAAATTAATGCATAATTCATGGGGGACGCAGGCCAAAATAAATCACTCTATGCATTAATATTTGTTTCATTTTCCTAAAATTTGTCTATTTTTACCTGACAAACTATCATATGTCTTTCCACTTCCCCGTTTTTGCCATCCAGCATCTACAGCAACAACTAGTCCCTTTTCATTCATCTCTCTGAAAGATAGTTAAATAACAGACATCAGTTATTAGCCTGTGAACCTGTCTCCTTTAGAACACCTCCCTAATATGCATAACAATCTGCATATTTATCAGCACTAATTATGCAGTAGATGACTAAAACTAACATTTATAAGTATATCTAGTAACTGCGAAGCAGTATATAAAAAGTCATAAACTGTTCCAACCCAAGTTATACCAGTATATGTAGCTATTAAATTCACTCCTTATAATTTAATTTTTTAAATCAATAAGACAATTTCTCCTTCAGAAATGCCTTCGAATTGCACATATTTTAAAAGTAACACCAAGCGGATTGATACGTTTTTGACGTACATTAAGTCATTGTGACGTAGGCAACACAGGTTATACCATAAAAACTAAAATTTTTTATCCAATCAAATAATGCGTTACAACCAAAATTAAATTTTTTATAAATATTTTGACTCCATGCGGTGGACCAAAATGTAGACTAAAGGAGTTATATGATTTATTCAAAGTTTAATCAACACAACATTGGGATGCTTCAATATAAATATGATCAACATGGTCCTGCTGGTTTTTTTTCCTTTACACATGCATTATGTAAAATTTGACTGCTCTGATTTTGGCTCAACTCTAACCCCAGTGCTAATAATTTTTTTTTTAAAAATCTACTCTTCACATCTTAGATATGTGTTAGTAATTTATAGGATTTAGTGTGATCTTGCAACTCTATCTTATGTACTCCTTTATAAAACTCTAATCCGCTATTGTAGTCTCAACCTAATTTAAAAAAAAAAAAAAAAACATTTTTCCTATATATTCTTGAATAAAATTTGATCACCTTTTGTAAAAACCCTAGTCCTGGGGGGTCATGATTTTTACACTATGTAATGAAGCTAGCTTTCACATAAATTTCCTCTTTCCTGGCCAAGTGGTTCTTAAAGAAGACTTTTAAAACATAACATTAAATTTTCTCTAATTATTAATTATCTCCCTTTTAAAGAAAACATGACTCTTCATTTGAACAAACTTGAATCCTGACCTTTCATTTGCACAAACTTGAATCCCTTTACCCAAAGATGCTTTGTGGCAAGTACGGTTGAAATTGGTTTGTGTGGAGAAGTCGAAAATGTGAGAAGTTAACAGATGACCACTACACATGGTTGCTGGACACCCTTTGATCAGAAAAGCTCAATTGAGCCTTTGGCTCAGTTGAGCTAAAAAGTGAGATTTTAAACTGAATTTATATTGTATACACACTCATTCATCATTCCCAGTTCCTTCTGCAAAGCATTAGACATAGACTCTGCAGCAACATCTTGGACAGCTCTGCCAATCTCTTTCTGTCTATTGTCTAGCATGGCATGACTAACAGGTGGTATATTCAGCTCAGAAAGGAGACTGTTAACTTGAGTTACACCAATGCCAACATGTACCATTGCTGTAAATACAAATTCAAAAATGAAAAAAAAAATATCAATCTAATTAAAACAAGAGGCTCTTGAACCACAACACTCACCCGAGTCTCATTTTTCTCTGTATTCCCAGGAAATAAAAAAAAAAAAAGATCCATACTGTACTCAAACCCCCAAGGGGTAATGGCTACCAAACTTAAATTGATCTACATAACATTGGGATGATTCAATATCAATATGATTAATACGGTTATATGGCTTTGCTCTTCTACAGAGAAGATGATTTTTAATTTTTAAAGATTTTTTCCATGTACTATTGCATTATGTAAAATCTGTTAAGTCCAGTGGTTCAGAGAACAAATCTAAACAAGAAGTCTATGAGCCAATGCTCACTAGTAATACCCCTGCTCTGATGTAAATATATGTTCTCATGTAGAAACACAGATATAGAGAATTTACGGATATAGTGAAGTTTTTTGGAATCCCCAGCAAAATTCTTAACAAATCCTAAGAAAATATTACAGCTATAACAAACTCTGATATAACGAATTTACAGATATAGCAAACTGATTTTGTGTCCCGTAGAGATTAAAAATAATAAAAATTACATCTTTTATAATGAATTTTTATAATGAATTGCAAATTCAATATATATACTTTAACAAATTCGTAATACAGATATAACGAATTATGGATATAGCGAAGTAATTTCACAGGTCCCTTGGACTTTGCTATAACTGAGTTTTACTGTATATACACAAGTTCAGTTGCGACAGAAATTTGGTATGGACAGACGCATGGATAAACAGGAAGTAGACATCTGATTCGTATAAAAATGAATCTTACCATATGGCATGCGAAAACAAGAGCACCGCTAAGTGGAGCATCCCCTCACAGAGGAACTTCACCAGTAATGGTAATGTCTCCATACGAGAGAATAATTCTCAAGAGGGATGTTAAGAAAGATACAATCACCTAGTTATCAAGGGCACCCACTATTACTATATAAAGTTTACAATAAGGTAAAGTACATAAAATGTATTGCAACACTAATTAATTTTTTAACAAAAGTCAAAGTTGATATTATCTTGGGGGGGGGGGGGGGGATGGGGGATCCATTTTTAACAAAAATTAAAAGTGCATATCATATTGGTGGGGAGAGGTGGGGGCATAACATGCATACGTAATTGGGCAGTTTCCCTTATTCCTAGCAGAAACATATCACGTATGCTCTAAGTTTCAGTAATTTACCTATGCAATATGCATAAAATCTGAGAATACCTGTGGAAGCAATATTTTTTCGTAATGAAAAATAACAATATGTCAGTGTTGAGAGGTCAATGAAACTTGCGAAATGTCTTTATAGCTTTCAGAAGAAATAAGGATAAATTCTATATTGTAAACAGACACATGTGGAAATTTAATAATGAAACTGCAACGTTCATCAAATTATTTCAATTACTCAGTGTCAGAGATGACACTTTTAATTCAGACAGATTGTCTCAAGATACGCACAATAATATGACAATATAAATATGCAAATACATAGTAGAACTTACTGAAGCGAGTCTATCGAAGCTATCCGAATTTACCAGTTTGATTAACAGGAAGTGAGTATTGTCAAGTCGTACATAAAATTTCAGGGCTTGAAGGTACGCAATATTTAAAGAAATATTTCACTGATTAACTTGAAAATGAATAGGATTTGTCCTTTCACAATCCCACATAAGTATGTGGAAGCTGAGATTTGATAGTTCAAAGGTTCTCCTTAAATCTTGCCAACAAGCTGTAACGGACACACTAACACACACACAAACACACACATATATGCACAGTAGCGATGCTATATCCTCTCCGCAACTAGCTGCGCGAGGGGATAACAAAGAGTGTGCTAAAAACACAAGGGTAAAGCAGTTTACCCCCCTCTCCTTTGGAGCAGGGGTATAATTTTGTAAAGTTAACAGACAGACAGATAAATGGAAAAACTTAGATCAGAAAGCTCAAATGAGCCTCTGGCTTCAATAAGTTAAAAATGGCTTCTCAACAAGTTTTTATTCTGAACTAAACATTATATATATATATATATATAAATTCTTTCAAGTTCATGCAAAACAAGTGGCACTTATGAAATCTTTGAACAATGGGGAAAAACCTATACGTACAAAAATGAGCTAAAATTTAATTAGGCTCTTGTGACCTGACAAAAATTAATATATGTGTATCTGATGTAGGGGATGTGTAAGTGAAACTTCTCACCTGCTGATAGTTTTGTATTTACATCCCACACTTTTCCATGTTTTTTCCCCGTTTTTACATGGTTAATATGATTACACTTTGTATTGCTGCAACAGACCTGAAATGTGAATGTAAAACCAATGAATCCCCAGTTACAGGTCACTGTAATAAATTCATTCACCGTTAATGAATATCAAATGCTGGGGAAAAAAAGAATTTCAATATGCATCATTTCAAATATGATAAAAAAAAATATTGTAAAACCTTTCAAAACTTTTAATAAGGACATGGAATAATGCCTATTTTACATTGAGAAAAATCCATGAAAAAAAACCTTTCAAGCTTTCAAAGTTGTTTTCTAACTAACTGGACATAAATTTATGAGTTTATACCTTTAACAAAGAAGCTAAACCATGTGTCAGTACAGAAATTGTGTGTGAAAGTTGCAATGGTAAGCCACATTTACAACATCCCCGCAAGCCCTCAGCTAACACTCCAAGTTCTACCACTCTCCTTCCCTCCTTCCAATCCTCAGATGTAGTCACTTCTCCCCCATCCACCACCTCCTCTCTTTCCAGTATATTTAAATTTGGCAATTCTATTAATAAAGAATGAATAAATAAAAATTATCACCAGGATACACATAACGTTCTTTACTATCTACACATGCTGACAAGTTGACTACTTTTGATACACTTACAACAGTTCATAGTGCCAATATACAGCATATTTTTGACATTTAAGAGGTAAGTATATGCTATTTAGCATGTGCATATATGCATAACAAAATTCATGCATTCATGGTGTTGGGATAGTTAACTTGACAGGGTTGTGCATCCAAGTTCTGCTGTTTTGTTCCATTTTACTAAGAAGTAACACAATATAAACAATTTATTTCTATTATTATGGTTTTGGGCCAGTCTTTTTAAAATTTACTGGCCCAATGTGACAGTGAAAGTACTAGACTGCTGAGTTAAAAAATTGACCAGTAAAAATTTAAGCGATAGCCTGAGTGGCCAGTGAAAAAAAAAGTAATTATTTTTAGTCCTGGACCTGTTATAAGATAAATAAACCATCCTGATCAGTGGCGGATCCAGGAATTGCATAACAGTAGAAGGCAGGGGGTATGGGGGACTGCATTGACCCCCAGTGGGTCTAGGGCAAAGCCCTGGTGGGGGCCTGGAAGCTGATGAATTCTTACAAATAAGAGATGTTTTTTCCTTGATTTTAGGATAATGGACATAAAAGTTCTACATACAAAAAATTCAAAAGGGGGGGGGGGGGGGCTGGCCCTGTATCCACCTTTGCTGATAGAGATTTCCAAAGTTTCTCCAAATATGTTGTTGAAATCCATTTTATTTGTTTTCAATCTCTTATTTGCTATGACATCTCAACCACACATACATGATGACACAGCCTATTCACACTGTGTTACGAAAATACAAACAATTAATGAATAAAGGTAAAGGGAAAATCAAAGAAAATGTAACAACAGAAAATTCAATGTTTTGTAGTTGTATATGGAATTTATTTCAATCATGAGACAGGATTTTTTTTAAAAAATAGATTTTCATTTGTGTTTTCAAAGACACTTGTGAAAATATAAAAAAAAATCCTATCCCACTAGTGAAATAAATTCCATATTCAGCTACAAAACATTAATCATCCGCTATGTATCATGATACACTGGAACTGCATCTCAGTATTGTGATAAATATTGTGAGATTTCACCTTTCATACATTTTTGCATAATTTGTGTCAATCTGTTTTGTAATGTAACTTTCCATCACAATGTGAAGGGATCAAATGAGTATATTATTTCATCAAGCTTTAACATTTTATAATCTTTGAACCACAGCAATGAACAGCAAAAGTAAATTAAAAAAATATATATCTTATATATATTTATTACATGTAGGTTAAACTATAAAAAAAATTAACATATAGGCCTATGACTTAAAATGTTATAAGGACTAGAACGGCGCACTGTAATGGACATCATGTGCCTTCCTTTAATAGAGGGCGGAGCCCTCTCACGGGCCCGAAGGGCCCGTGAGAGCGAAGCTCTCCCTATAGGTAACACGTATGTATGTAAAATATATTGAATTCTATTGTAAACTATATTTTTATTACAATACCTATGGAACTGAGAACCTTGTCGCCAATATGGCGTCCATAGTCTTTTCCATCTTGAATCTCGCGACGAATTCCCGCATAGACGAGATGCTGGAGAATCGTAATTTTAATTCCAATCCTGCTTTAATGAAGTTTTATCAATTCTAATAATCAAAAACACCCTTATAGTACACATCTTTGTTACTTTCGTTTTCAACTAACTTGCATTCGATCGTCATATACCTGACATGTGACGTCATTCATTACTGAATCAGCGGAAACTGTTGAATTTTTAACAAACTGTAATAATTGATATTTCATATGCGTACTCTATTTTTAAAGAAAGATTTATTCAACTTTTAATAAACCTTACTAGAGTCTATGTTTTTGGTGAAACAAAAAAACTCAGTTCAAGGAATTCCAGTGACGTCACTGTCTAGACTGCGTACTACGCACTATGGAGGGGCGGATCTTTCTGTGGCCCCTTTTACCAGACTTTATGGAAAAGAAACAACTGTAATTTATTTGTTGATAAATTTATTAATTACGAATGTTTTTAGGATTATTTTCAATACACAAACTAGAAATATAAGATTTTTTTGTGACATGGTATGATTTTCCTCTTGAATAATACATTTAAAAAAATGTTTTAGTGGTAAAATATTGCTTGAAAAGCTTTATTGAATTCTGGTATGAACTCAAGAAGGGGGGAAGGGGTATGCATTTTAATTCTTTTAAATTTTATTTTTATTATTTATTTATGTATTCATTCATTCATTCATTCTTGTCTTTGATTATCTGCTTGTTCCTATATATGTTTGCAAGTGGAGGCCTGTGTCTCATTTTTGTTGTTGTGATTTTTTTTTCTCAAAAGTTTTACCATTTTTTTTAAGTGTCAAATTTCAGTTTCTTGAAATTCACCATCAAAAGAAAAATCTTCGGACATGTCTGAAGCTCAAACTACCACATCAAACACATGTTCCATTTATACATGTGGATACGCTTCAACGGATAAAGTAAAATGATTTCTAATTTTTATTTTAAAAAGTACTTTTAAAAATATAGAACAGAAAATTTATTCAGCCATTTGGAACCCATGGTGGATTATGATAGTGTATAAAGTCCAAAATCATATGAGGAAATCTAAGTTAAACAATACATGAGGAACTGCAACACACATGACATGTATAAAATAAAGTTTAATGTTCTCTTTATTAAAAAAAAACCCCGCAAATACAGAAGTTGGATCTTAATTTGACATTACCCATGGTAATCCATGTAAAGACTTAGAGGTCAATGTTGTTGATTAGAACTGACTAAAATATTTTTTTAAGCTTCCATATATGATCCTTTTTATTAATCATGTGGTGGATAGGGATGTCCCAAAACATCAATTACTGATGCGGGGGGGGGGGGGGGGGGGGGGTCGATACAACGATACATATTCTATTCGATACTTCCCTGAAATGTACCCTATTATTCACAAGTTTGGGTTTTAAAATTCTAATAGTTTTGGCATAAACAATTTAATATCTGGAAAAAACTTTTATTGAGTTAAATTTGTTTTTCCAGATATTAAAAAGAAAAGATTTTTACCTTGCTCATATATGTTAGTTTTGAAAGCACTAAAGCCTATTCGAATCAGATAAGTTTTTTAAAAAATTCAGAAACGTTAAATTTACTCTACATTTTTTTCATTAAAATTAAGAAAATAATTCTCAGAAATTTTGCGATGCTGATACTTTAAGCCCTCACGATACACAGCCCTAGTGTTGGTCAGATGATCAGTTTCCAAGTTTCCTGATAATCCAGGAATTAGATCATCTTTCTGTAGTTTGGGTCCAAAGTTCGACTTCCGATGTAGTCCCTGACAATTGTCCTTATTTGTATTTGATGTCATGACCATTCATTGGAAGTAAAAGATGAGAATTAAATGACTTGATGTTTCTGGATTGAGGTTTTTAAATTAAGTCGTGAAAGATAAAGAAATGATGCTCATGCATGCAAGTTCACGTATTAATTGTTGCACAGATACATAGATAAAAGAGTTAACGTTTAAGAGTTCTTGGGCCTTGCACGGCCTTGGTCGGTTGAATCCTTGACTGGTCCAGTGCACGCTCTTTCCCCGTTATGCTATTTGATTTTGAGTGCACTGGCAAGGCGATTCATGATGAAATATCTTAGTAAAAGTTTTCCAGATTTATAAAACCAAATACCCTTAAATTTCTTTATTTGAAATGAAAAATATTTGAGGTAAGAGAACTTACAGCTGAGCTCTTTGTTATGATTTTCTGACACAACTTGATTTTAAAACTGATTTATCATTGAACAATAAAATGTAGAAATGTTCCCTTGATGGCTCCGCCCTCACCAACGGTCACACCGTCTAACATATTATTTCTAAGATAGATCTAACATAGATGCAGATGTGCAAACTGGTTTTTCTTTTTAGATATGATACACGTATGTATACAAACCTTGATCATGATCAATGTTAACAGGAGTTGCACTGGCGGAGTAATTGTGGTCTCTAAGAATAGCTCCCCTAATCCATCGGGTCAATTGCCCTGCAGATACTTTTTCATATCTCTCCTTCTTCGTTTTCGAAACGAACCCATGGCGTCTGTACTTTGGTTTCACCATCTTAACCAAAGTTTACGCGCCGAACGTTACTTCACGTCTGCTTTTTACTTACATTATCGTAATCCGTCTCACATGTCTTAATTTTCCGCGAAATATAAAATAGTTATTATATGTTTTCTTCTGGCACAAAAATCAATATTATGTTACTTTCTACGGATAATTATTATAATTACTTAAAATAAACTATTATTTTTCTGTCATACTGAATTCTTTATTAAAACGACATTCAGACCAATTTCCGGCAGTTCGAGTTGCGCGGTGTATTCAAATTCGTCAGAAGCGAAACACCTTAAATTTATTAGAAGTTATCTGAATATCAGTAGTCAGCTTTCATAGATATGATAAAGATCATTAAAAAAACCATTTCACTCAAGTTTGCTGGACATTACACATAAAGATTTCAATATCATTACCATAACATCTGTATAGTAACTCTCCTTTCCTACGACCGAAAGGAGATCATTGTGTCCAGATCGCTTTACATTGCACTGTGATGAAATTACTAAGTTATTTCAATCTATAATAACCATTATGGTCATGTAGCATGATAATTCACAAGAATCTGTGTGATGGTTTTTTTTTTGTTGTTTTTTTTGTTTTTCGTCTAAATGTGATTTTAAAAAAATCACATTCGGACGAACACACATTCGCCCGTAACTTACCGACTTCAGTGAGACAGACACCTATTTCTCCCTGCCTCCACCCATCTTGTGAACAGACTGGCTTACAGTAAGCACGCGATGCACTAGTTTTCTTCCATCTCAAGACATGTATGTCGTAAAAGGGGCAAGAAAGGTTCAATGATTGAAAAACTTTATTTTTACAATTTTCGCTTGCAACATTAGGATTGATTGATTGTATGTTGTTTTACGTCCCGTTCGAGAATTTTTTTTACTCATATAGAGACGTCACCATATACCGATGAACGGCTTCAAATTTAGACCTTTACTCGGCACTAAGGGCCATTGAGAAGTGAGGGTTCTTTATCGTGCCAACGCTTACCGTGACACGGGGCCTCGGTTTTTAAGGTCTCATCCGAAGGACCCGCAACATTCACTTCAAAGAACCGAACGCTTGGCGAAGAGACAGTTGCTACCTATTTTTTATCGACTTAGGTCAGTGATTCGAACAGAAGACCTTCCGAGCGAGCGCTCTATCGACTTAGCTACCGTGACGGTCGTAACATTAAGACAGACAAAGGAGAAGATATAATTGATTTAACATATTTGACCAAGAAAAAAATGCATGGAGAAAAATGAATTTTATTTTGCAAGAAAGTGCATATCTACAGTTGAAAAGCGGCATGAAGCTTTTAACACGCATGCATCATCTGTCAATTTAAACGTTTTTGCACAGGATAAATTGGAGGGACAGCAGTTCGTCCGACACACGATTTTAATTCTGATTTTTATTAATTAAAGACGGTCTCCATGACAACTAGAACAAGAGGCCCATTGGCCACAACGCTCACTTGAGTAACTTTGTCCTTGTTGTTTCCCCAGATTTCCCCTTTGTTATACTCATTGTGGCCCCACACTACCACAGGGTCCATGATTTGAACAATTAAGAATCTACACACTACCCCAGGATGCTTTCATATAAGTTTCAAATTTTCTGGTCCAATGGTTCATACCCGCGTTATTATAAAATAGAGAAGGTAAGTCACTTCCATTTGTCAACATTGGACCCCTCTTGGTTATCAGTTTCAAAATATCATTTACCTACTTCTTGTCACAATAATATGTCAAGATATCTTGTTACAGTTGATATTTTTCTCTTTAATCGAGCTATTTAATTGCCCAGGCATTCCACAGTAATATGAGTATACATTGTCAAACCTGAAAAATGCTACAAGTTTTGGACTAGAAGATTAATTTATGAAAGAAGACAAATAAAAATATCCTTGGACCCGGGGTGTATATTGGTGGGGGATGTCCTTTCCAAAAGCACCTGTGGTAGCCATATCTTTGAAATGGAGAAACATTAGAAAAGGGCACTTGAGACACCAATGGCGTTACTATCATCAACCCGGTAGAGTTCTTTTTAATTTGTTGTAAAGTTTTCCCTTTCATTAGTTGTCTCAAAGAAAAATTTATCCTTTATTGTCTAGTTATGGGCATGCATGAAGATTTTAACCTACGTGGAAGCCCAAAATTAGATATTTGGAAGCTTAAAGGTCAATGTCAATGGGTCACTTTATCGTAGTGCCTGTTCAGCCTCACATTTAGTTTATTGCATATATACCTGTAATGAATATCAAAAGAATAAACAGGTAAACACAGGTTTACGAATACACAGGTACAGTATGAAAGCCTTATCTCAAACTGTTCAAAAGTTGTGGCCAAGAATAATTTCATACAGGTACAAGTATGTGTGAGTAGAAAAAGGGGGTTCAAATGACACCATCTTCGCTAGCCAAGGGTTTCTGATCCGCTACTCTTCTCACAAACCCTTGGCATATGGTGCTGTCAAAAGACAGGAATGTTTACTTCACGTGATCTTGAATCTTACCACATACGCACAGATTGCGTCATCGATAGAAATAAAAAGCAAATTTAAACATTAAAGTTTCAGAGAATAATTAACAAGAAGTATCGAGCGATGTTTACTTGTTATTTAGGGTGAAAATCTACATCTATAATAGATTCCAGGTCACATTATTTGCACTTCAACTTAAGATTGGATGACACCATAACTATTCATAGAATGACGTTATTTGACGGATCGTTATGTTTTTCATTCCCAAGACTAAAGAGTCAAGATATATCCCGAACGCAGATATCGTCATTTACAAAAAACAATTGCTGATTGGTCGATCTATATCAATCAACTTCAATCACAACTCGAGAAAAAAATCCCAACTTTTGACAGCACCGTAGGCCAAGGGATTATGAGGAGAGTAGCGGATCAGAAACCCTTGGCTAGCGAAGATGAAATAACACCTGTTCTGTCTTTATTAATATGGGAAGGTATTGCTTTATTTTGGTGTTTATCTATTTGTTCCATGTTTATTGACTTTATTTTGCCTGAATACTGTGGAATCATTTAAATTCATGGGGGTCAATGTTCGTGGGCAAGAAAAATTTTATTGGTTCGTGGGGATGTAATTTCGTGGGCAGCTCGTTTATTTGGTAGATTTAATTAATCAGTACGTTGACAAAAAATGTTCGTGGGGATGTAAATTCGTGGGTAAGGGTTACCCACGAAATCCACGAACATTGATCCCCCACGAACAATGATGATTCCACATTATGCTGATATTTTGCATTTTATGCACCCGTATCGACTATTCGGTCTGTTTGCTCCCAACAACTTGAATCTAGGCCCTAACTTTTGAACGGTTGATGCTAGGGTTTTCATATTTCACAGGTATGTTCGTTGTGACATGTTTTTTTCCGTTTCAAAAATTTTGACCTTGGTGTTTTACCTACTTGTATCCACCTTTTGAAACTTAAACATTGGTCATAACTTTCGAATTGTTGACGCATTTCACATGCATTCTTTGTAGCAAGTACTTTCTTTCTATGCCAACATTTAAGACATTGACCTTGGGAAAAATTTAACCTTGGCCATAACGTTTGAACAGTTTATGCCAAGGCTTTCATATTGTACATGTGTGTGTTTCCTTATGACAAGACCTCATGACCGTAACCTTGGAGTTTGACCTACTTTTGAAAAAAAAAACTTCAACCTTTATAATAACCTTTGATTGATTGGTAAGGGTTTTCACGTGAACTTAGCGACAAGACCTTTTTTAGGCTAAACTACATTTAGACCTCATGACCTTTAGTGCAACCTACTTAAGTTTTAAACGGTTGGTGTTGGGCTTACATATTACACTTGTTTTATTCCTTGAGGCAAGACCCTTCTTTGGGTATCAACATTTTATAACCCCATGACATTGAATCTGGAGTTCGAACTGCTTTTGATAAAGCTGTGAAGGGGAATCAGTATTTCAAACACATCTTGTTCCGATGTAAGCGGAACAACACAAGTTCTCTCTTGTTAATTAAAACATGTACATGTGACCGTATTGCTAAAAGAATTGTTAAGTAATGTAATTGTAATATTTCTAGTATTTTTTGAAAAGCTTGTTTATAGCCAATTAACTAGCATTCAACATAGAAATAAATTCTACATTAAGAATTATGTAATATGAAATGCTAAAAATGTTTATTCTTCCATCAATGTAATGCACAGATTAATAATACAATATTTTACGCACTGACACCCGCTTTTTATTTTTGTTTGTTTATTGTTTAACGTCCCTCTCGTGAATTTTTCACTCATATGTAGACGCCACCACTTGCCGGTGGAGAGCTACAAATTTTGACCTATACTCGGCACTCAGGGCCATTGAGCAGTGAGGGATATTTTTCGTGCCAGAACCTACTGCGACACGGGACCTCGGTTTATACGGTCTCATCCGAAGGACCGGTCTCCACGTCCCACAGTGGGATTCGAACCCGCGACGTAAGGATCAACTCCTTACTTCGCGACTCTAGGGCGAACGCTCTAACCACTGCGCCACGCGGGCGACCACCCGCTTTATAAAAATAATTTATACAGATAAAATTAACATAGCCTAATTGCTTTAATGCAAATCACGCACTTTATTTTTCAATTTCACTACCTTCTCTGTTTGTTTCGTCAATAATGCAAGCGGCGTCCTCAAAATACACACCCACCCACCGCCTTTCCCCCGTCCCGCACACCCTGGCCCATGTCTTGCAAAAAAGAAGTTACCAAACAACTTTGGTGATCATGATGATGGCCACAGAATCCTACCACGCGAGAATCAGCTTTGCATTTATAATACTATGTCTTTACTGCTTCGTCATTGTACTGAATCCAGTAGAAGTACTTCTTTGCTGACATGTGGCGACTTCTGACCTCGCTCTGACGATATTCTCCATCCTCTTTAATGAGTATTTCGTATCTTCCGTCTTAGTTCATATGTTCAATAGCCTAAGATCTTGTCATTTTTACCTGATATGTCCTAAGAGTAAGCTCACGAATTTCCTCTTTGATAAGCCGGGGAAAATCTGGAGCCATATTTGGGGCATCAATCTTTGTCCAAGAAAACGACCTTTGATCCATTTCCTAGGTCTGTACTAGGATCCTAACGAAGGCTGATCGGTTAGCAAGAAAGATGTAGCATCTTATATGCGGTGATAAGATCTTCTCTTATTCCCCAGAATTTAGTGGATGTGTATTTAGAACAAGTTGCAGAAATGATCTGCACATAGTCGCGAACATACGGAATTTGCATTTTTGGAGTCCTTT